TCAAATAATTGAAACATAAGATTTGGTTTGTTTTGATTTAATTTCAAGCCTTTGTATTACATAATAAGGGAGGAGGCCCATGAGGGGTGGTTTAATGGCCGAGATTAACATTTAGTAATGCAAAGGTCTCAGATTCAATCACTTCTCGTACTCTCTAAAGATTAGCCACTATTATCCCTTTAAGGACATGCTCTAACGCAACTCAAGTTACGGTAACCAGATGTTGAGGTCGAGAGAGTAGTTGACACAAATCTAGACACCATGTAGCCATAAATATAGGAGAGAAAAACAACTTTTTTTTTTCAATTTTTTGTGCTTATCGGTTTACAAAACAGTAAATTTGGCATTCGTTGACATAATCACTTTTTTTCAAATGGTAAAACCTCTATCGAAGACAAATATATAAATTAAAAGGGTTGGCAATGATGTCTCGGAGAATTGAAGTGACACCCACATATTTAGGCCTAACTATAGGAAATGTCTTTATAATTTACCAAATTTGTTGGACTCGGAGATTTGCCAGTTGCGTAAGGAATTGTATAGTTGAATATGACTTCCTGCTTTTAATCTATTCTCGCATTGATCTGTCCACTCCAAGCAATCATTTTAAAAGTTTTTCAAAACACTCCCAAAATCCCATCATTACAAATATCAATCCAAACAAGTCATAAAGTTACCTTCATAATGATTCAACATAAGAAGATCGATATTTTAAACGAAAAAAAATTAGAAATCGATCATAAATTTAGAGAGTTTACTTCTACAAAGAAAATTAAAGACCTTTGCAACTATAGCATAAGAGATAGCGTCTTCGTGGTTCCTGTTTTTCTCTTGATCCTTAAGGATTGTCAAACGTAGAACCAATTGAAGCCACCAATTCAATAAAGCCAAAAAATTGCCAACCAATCATGACAGTTACTCCTTCGCAAATGCAGCAAGAGAAGACTTACCCAAACAAAAAGAATGATAGGAAAAGTTTATTCAACGTGACATTAATATTACGTTATTATAGATACAGGATATGATAATTTAATAAAAAATAATTAAATAAATAAAATGAACACCATTTATATACACCGGGTAATTACTAATTATATGAAGAAAAAAAAAGTAAGTTATAAACTATATAGGGTAAATTATATTTTATACTTTAAAATATTTTAAGTTAAAGATTAAATTTTTCACATTGCATCTTCAATGTATCAAAAGTGTTATAATATGATTCTTCTATTCGCTTTTCTTTAGTTTTTTCGTCAGTGTCAATGAATTAACTTTTAACCAAAAAAAAATAACGAAAGTTAATGAAAATGTCATATTATAATATTTTTGATACATTGAGGATTTAATATGAAAAATTTAATCTTTAAAGGTCCAAAGTAAAAATCTTAAAATTTTTAGAGTACAAAATATAAAAAAAAATCCAATTATATATGCATAAGAATGCACGTAATTAATGATATCCTTAAATTTGACACAAGTTCTAAATCTTTTACTTTTATAATTCTTTGTCGCCTGGTCGTCGTGAAAACTAGAAAAATAAAACTTTGTGGAAGGAATAAAAGTTTGAAACCAGCCTAGAAAAATATAAGTTTATGAAATAGTCAAGATTGAATGACACTTTTCATCCCGAAAAGTCTTTAAATTCACAATTTACATTAAAATATTTAAAAAATTTATTGCACCTTCAATCATATAAAAAAGTAACAATTTAGTTCAAAACTAAACATATGTTGCATTGTCAGACATTTTTTTTTATTTTCTAATTTTTGTACATAATTATTTATAGGGAGAATTACATTTAGACCCTTTAAAGTTTGTACACGCTTAACATTTAGACTCCTACCATCAATTTTTGTTAGTATATTTATTAATAAATTACATTTAAACTCCCTAAAAATTGTAAACATATAATAAGTAGACCCTTCAAGTTTAAAATATTATACTTAGACAAAAAATATTTCAATTAAAGATAGAATATCATATATTTTAAATTTTACAAGTAAAATTTATGTTCTATTATGACATTTATTGAAATAAAATCAAAAATAAAATTTTAATTTTTTCTTAAAAAATTATAATTAATATATAATTATATTATGTATTGAAATTTAATTTGATCGTTTAAACTACCAAATTAGCACAATTAAAGCTAAAAGATACTGATAATGCATAAATCAGTATTGTGCAAGATCAACAGTCAATAATATGAACAGAAACAATCAATAAGCAGCAAATAGCAATCAATGGCAAAACAATAAATAAGAGTCAACACAAAAATTTATAGTGGTTTGATCCAGATGACCTATTCCACTCTCGGGAACGGCAGCGGTGGCCTAGGTCTTTTATTAATGAATGAAGTCGTTGGAGAGTATTCTCTAGGAGTATTACAGTACTTTTAGAGAGGAAAAGAAAGATGGGTGTGGGAAGGTATAGTGTGTGTAGGGAACTCAAGGTTATGAAGACCTCAAGATCATGCCCTCCATGTGGAGAGGGCTTACATTATATAGGTGTGATAAGGCGGTGACGTGAGGGAGATGACTTCCACTATTTTGGTAAGTACAATTTAGGTAGAATTAGATTTTCGTGCGTATCCCGATATTCTCTCCTTCGTGCTCCTATTCAGTCGGAGGAGGATCTTGGGCTTGGACTTGAGTTAGAGTGGCAGAGTCAAGAGGGCGAAGGACTTCATGAGCTTGCACATGAGAGAGAGCATGGGACAAAGGAGGGAAAGGATCCCTTGGGGTGCCCCCCTTGAACTCCTCCTTGACTTTGTCTTCCTCTTAACTTGGGTTCCTCCTTAACTTGTTGACTTAGGCTCCGAAGTGACATGGACCTCTCTTGATTAATTGGGTCTGACCCAATTACTTTCGGGCTCATCAGATACTGTGTTCATTATAGTTTGACCCCTCGCCTGATTTTTTAATTTTATTCCAATAGATAGTATAATTATATACTATTTATGATTTTTTAAGAAAAAAATAAATTTTTATTTTTAATTTTATTTCAATAAATGACATAATAGAATATGAAATTTGATTGTAAAATTCATGTTCTATTATGATTGACTTAGATCATTTGTTTGATTTTTTTTAATTTTATTTCAATAGATAGTATACTAATTACGATTTTAAAAAAAAATTATTTTTATTTTATTCCAATAAATAATATAATATAACATGAATTTTGATTATAAAATTTAAAATATTTGATATTCTATATTTGATTTGAGTATTTTTTGTCTAAATATAACATTTAAATTTGAGAGATTTAAGTATTATATGTCTACAAACTTCAAGAGGTCTAGGTGTAATTTACTAATAGACATTGACGGTAAGAGTCTAAATGTTACGCGCATATAAACTTCAAATAGTCTGTGTGTAATATTTCAAATGTTAAGAGTCTGAGTGATTGAGTGACAAATTTTAAGTGGTCTAGGTGTAATTCTCCCTTATTTATATGTAACTCAATTTCAAAAAAAAAAAAACTCAATTTAAAAAATTTTAAATGATAATTGGAACTAACTTTTATTGAAGCAAACCATATTATTACTTTTATATGATTAAGGGAACAATGTGAAAATTTAATATTTCAAAGTGTCATTTGAGGATTTAATAATTTTTTAAAAATGCAAAGTGTCATTCGCCCAACAAATAAAAATTTGAAACAAATTAAAATATATGTAGTAATTAAAAGAAAAAAAAACAAGGTAAGCTTTTCTATTTATTTTATGGGCAAATGATACTTTGTATTTTTTAAGATCACTGAATTCTAAATTTATACTTTAAAAGATTAAATTTTTCATACTGTACCCTCAATGAAATAAAAAGATAGCAATATATTCTATTTTTAAAAAATTGAGTACAAAATTTTTACTAAAAATACTTAAAATAAATTATTATCGAAATATGATAATATAAGAAATAAAAATAATTTTTTCTGCAAAAATTAAAAAATATTTACTTTTGGGCTATATTGCTACATTTTTTTATGTGACGGTGGGTGTAACATGAGAATTTTAATTTTTTAGTTTATAACTTGAGAGTTGAAGAATATTTTAGGGTGTAAAGTGTTGTTCGCACTTATTTCAACCAAAAAAGTGGAGAGAGTGCATTTGTCTCGTTACAGATTTAAATATTGTTTAATATATTTTCTCTTCAATTCTCTCTTACCGTTAACGAATGAGGGACTAAATGCAGTGACTCAATGAGGTCCTCTTTAATAACTTCTTTTTTGGAAAAATTACCAATAAGTATGAAGTCCTATTATTGATATTTTATTTCAATTAAGTCTTAAATTTCATTATATTTCAATTTTATCCTTACCGTTTATTCACCCAAACTCTTTTATTCTTTTATATTTTTAAAATCAATTAAGATGACAAAAATTTCTTACTTACAAAATTAACATCGAAACTCCATACAAAAATTCAGCTAACATAAATTTCATGGTAGGACTCAAAGAAAGCTCACACTTTTTTTTTTTTATTTTCTTATCTCATTATGGTATCTAATCTTAAAATTCGAGACAATATTTTTACCAATTATTTAATAAAATAAAAAAGATTAAAAAAACTACATCAATAATATTTATCGATTAATTTTATTTTAATATCGTTATCGATTCAAACACAACAACTAAAATAAATCCTTAACTTAATTATTTTAAATCTAATATAAATTAATGTAATATAATTTTGGTAAAAATTAACTTAAATTAATATTGATATAAAATCTGTAATATTCTACTAATTGATTCTAAGAATGAAAGATTTTTTGTAACAAAAGGGTAAGAAAACAATTGGATTATAATAGAATTAAGATTTAATTAAAATAAAATATTAAAAATAGGACTTTGTTGATATAAAATAAAAATAATAAGACTTAATGGATATTTATAATAAAAAATAATATTTATTGATTATTTTTCCTTTTTTGTTTTTAATTTCCTTCCTACCCTGTCGTGTCTTCAAGCGGAATCTATTGTGTACAACTGAGTATCGAATGGGGAATCTATTGCAAATGCATAAAGTTGATGGTCTGTCAAACGGAGAAGGTGAGCTGGAAGAATGACTCCCATCGTTACAATTACCATAGGCAGAGAAGTAAACAGAAACAATTAACAATTGAAGTTACATTTTCAAACACAAACATGGATCGACTGCCATCTGTATGTGTGATTGTGACATATTCCAAATGAATCGCATACCAAATAAGCTCATCTTCACACGACAGCTCTGTTTGGGTATCGAACAAGCAACAACGTGTCTCTGTTTTGGTGCTTTCATTCATTCATCTCGGAGGCTCTTCGTTACAATCCCATCTGTACTTAATTCTTTTTCATTCGCTTTCTATTTCTGTTCTGCATACCTTTTGGTATATTCACTTTTATTCATTCCTTTGGGCCTCTTTTTTTTCCAGTACCATTCCGTGGTTCTTGGAATCGAGTACAGATGGGATTGTTGAGTACTCTCTTGGGAATTCTGGGTTTTGGAATTGGAATCCCAATTGGTCTTTTCATTGGGTTTTACTTCTTCATTTATTCTGAGCCCAAGGATTCAGAGGTAATTAATTATACCCATGTAAGAATATAACCCTGGTTTGAATTTGATCATTGCATTCGAAGATACTACTTAAAGCATTGATTAACTATTGCATTCTATATGTGGTCTCTCTCTCTCTCTATATATATATATATATGTGTGTGTGTGTGTGTGTGTGTGTGTGTGTGTCTTCTTTTTTCCTGTGTTTGGTCCCTCTTGATTGTTTTGCTGCTGAAAATTTGCACTGGGCTGGGAATTGTAGTTCTCGTTTGATCTTTGCATGTGGGGGTTTATTGACGGATTAGAATATTGTTCATTTGTAACTTATTGTGCATTGCATGATCTGGGTGTTTATTCTATTGCATATTGTCTTCCTTTTTTCAGTGTTTTATGCCCTTAACAGTAACATTGCCGTTTAGTTCACTGTTCACATTGAAGATATACTTTTTCTTAACGTGTTCTTATGTTCTGTACTTTAGTTCTATGTGATCCTTGGGACTTGGGAGTGTTCATCTGATCTCATTGTGGTTTTGAGGCTATTTTCGGCATATTATAGGAGCTTGATGGACCTGTAAAGTAGGTAGAACTAAAAGTAGGAACCAACTAGCCCTATTGAACCAAGGATTTTTCATTTGATCTGCTTTTTTTTCTTTTTTAATTTTTCCGACTAAGTCAAGGTTTTAGCAGGATGAGAGTCAACTGTAGGCTGCTAGTAGAATTCATTGTTCTTGTGTTTTCTCTTTTCTAATATTGCCATCACTGATTATTGTCATCAATCCTTTCATGGTTCAAGTAATCGAAGACTGAGGCATATACATTCTTCAACAAGATTGGGTTTTCATTTGATTAAGATATTACTGCTAATATGCTACTCTTCCTGAACAAGTTAAGGACAAGCTAAACTGAACAAGTTAGGAAATTTTGTTCCTTAAATTTCAAAAGATAAAATGGAAAGCAATATCCTCACTTCCAATGCTATTTAAATGGTGGCTTGGTTTCATCTACATACTATGTACATGTATCTGTGTGCATTTGTAGTGAATTTTGAGCATGTTCATGTGCTTTTACTTTGGTGAAATCTAAAATTCAATTCATAAATGCAAGCATGTAATTTCAATAATCTTAAATTCTATGTGACTGGGGAACGCACAGCATTCTTAGCTTGTCTTTTGAATAATAATTGCAGAATCCAGTTACTAGACTACTTCAAGAGCTAGATAGAGCTTCATTAGAAGATCTTCTGCCTGAGATTCCACTCTGGGTGAAGAATTCAGATTATGATCGAGTAGGTATTGCTATACAAATTTTCTACAATTGTCGTCGTTATTCAAAAATAATGAATGCTTTTCTTTGAACTTCAATTCTTCTCCTGTTCCTTTTAAGTATCATCTATGGTTTGTGTTTATGTGATTGTGCAGGTGGACTGGCTAAATAAATTCATTTTGGATATGTGGCCGTACCTTGACAAGGTAATTTTTTAGCGTTAAAAGCTTGTTTTGTGGAGACGATCGCAAGCGTTAGTTTTTTCATGCACAGGCAATTGGCGGCACAATAAGAAGCATGGCACAACCTATATTTGCAGAGTACATAGGGAAGTTTCAGATAGAATCTATCGAGTTCGAGAATCTAAGTCTTGGTACTCTTCCTCCTAGCATTCATGGTGAGTAAGTTTCTGTATTGAGTTAACTCTCTTCGCTGAATATTTTTTGGGTTCAAGACTCAAGAGTTCTAGTTGAATCTTTTCTGCTGTCATAGCACACTCAGACCCTTGGTTTGTTTATCTGATTGTTTTAGAAGCAGCAGCATTGAAGTCCGCCTTGCCATCTATGAAGAAGCTACAACTATTGCAAAGACCTGTTCCATTGAGAAAACTACTTTTGCTATTAAAATCTCATTCATTCCCATTACCGGTTACTGCTTATATGAAGCCTCACAAACTGCATTGTCAATAGCCAACTGAATTATAAAGCTATACTCATATTCCAGATATCGATGTTTATTGGAGTTCAAATCCACAAGCAAACTAGCAAGCAGTTGATCTGGATGTGGGCTAGATTGTATGAAAGGATGGGTCTAGATTCTAGAACTTGTGAGTTAATTTTACTGGGAAGGCAGTAACCATGGAAAATCAATCATGAAGCTCAGAAAAAAAAAAACAATTGCAGGCAAATTCTCGTAGAGTTATTCTTTTTTGGGATGGGCTTGGGGTGTTGGAGAGGGAGGCAGAGCGTGGATCATGATATGGATAGACATATGCATCATTGTAGAACTATATGAAAATCTTAAGAAATAACTTATCTCACAATGTTCGTAATAGTAGTACCAAGCTTGGTGAAATTAGCTCTGGTTCCATGGAAACAGAAAAATTGTATCACGTTGGATCCTTTCTTAAAGTTCTTTTTTGTAATTACAACAAGACGAGTTGGAAGAGCAGGTGTCATTTGCAAATGCAAAAACCATGGTACTGCCTAGAAATTGTTGATATATAATGAATCATGCATTCATCCAAATGCAGTGTGCTCTAATGTCCATATATTTTACAACTTGGCAGGTCTTAAAATGTATGAGACCAATGAGAAAAAGTTAGTCATGGAACCGGCAATCAAGTGGGCCGGCAATTCGAACATAGTTGTGGCATTGAAATTGTTGTCTCTGCGAATTACGATTCAGGTCAGGAGAACCTAAAGACACAGTCTTTAGCAAAAGAACGTGTGTTTTTAGTTCCTAAGATGTGTTTCTTTGGAGGATTGACTAGCTTCTTCTCAGCTGGTGGACTTACAAATATCTGTGACACCACAAATAACTTTGAAACCTCTAGTGCCTACCTTTCCATGTTTTGCAAAGATAGTGGTATCTTTGATGGAGAAGGTAAGCAGAAAATCTCGGTTACAGGTGAATCATTTTTGGTTCCTTTTCATTTCTCTCTGATAATTATTTTGGAATATTTTTTGCAGCCGTACATAGATTTTGGCATGAAAGTATTGGGTGGGGACATCATGTCTGTACCTGGCCTATATCATTTTGTTCAGGTGCTGTGTTAGTACTTTCCTGTAGGCAGGAGTGAGATTCAAGTTATAGTCTAGAACTAAGGTGGTTGCAGGATGGAATTTACTCTTGGGAGAATTTTATTGGTTTCTCTCCCTAAATCATATGTGTTATCAGCTGATTTTCTTGGTTCTTGCAGGAAACTATAAAAAAACAAGTCGCAACTCTATACCTCTGGCCCCATTCTCTTGAAATACCTATTCTAGATGGTTCAACGTAAGTCCTCTTCCATTCAATTCAGGGGCGGATTCACAGTGGGGACAGCTGCCCCCACTGGAATTTTAAAAACTTTTGGAGATTAAGTGTAATTTTAAAAAATTTAAAATTTATTAGATATTTGCCCCCACTGAATTTTTTTTAAAAGATTTAAAGGTAGTTATGTTATTTTGACAAATATACGAGTCTCACTTGTAAATATCAATGAAAGATGATATCAAAAATTTGAACATTTAAAGATTAACTAATATGTTACGAAATAGATTAGCCCTCTCATTTGTTTTATGTTTATACATCGAACTAAATTTAGGACTTGTAATCCTCTTCTTTGTTTTATGTTTATATGTTAGAATTGAAAATTAGGGTTTGTAGCCCTCTTTTGTGGTTTATTTTTTAAATGTTGAATTGAAATTAACATTTGTAGCTCTCTGTTGTATTTTATTTGTTACATGGTGAATTGAAAATATAAAATTGGGGCTGGTAATCATCTCTTATGTTTTATTTTTTATATATTGAATTGAAACTAGGATTTGTAGTCTTGTATTTATTTTTCTATGTTGAAATAAAATTGGGCTTGTAGTCCTCTTCTATGATTTATTTTTTTATATATTTAATTGATATTGGGGTTTGTAGTCCTCTCTAATATTTTATTTTTATATGTTGAATTGGAATTAGGATTCATAGTCGTCTCATCTGTTTTATTTTTATTTGTAGAATTGGAATTAGAACTTGTAGTCCTCCATTATAATTAGACTAAATTATTTTGATTTGGTAGTTTGAATAGTTTTATTGTAATAAATTAAGTACTTCATATACCTAGGTTTAGTTTCCTAGAATAATTATAGTTTAAGTTATTTTCGATTGTTTGTTAAAATTTAATGATGAATATTAAGTTTGTGATTGAACAAATTAATTTTTGAATTAGTTATGAAAATTTTTCTTAAAATTTAATATATGATTGAGCCCAATTTTGCGGTTCAAAATTTTTTTGTTAGGTCTTATAGATAAATCTATAATGAGTTTTTTTTGTTGGCTCATTTTGTATATTGCTCATGTATATGAATTACTTCTTTAATTGGTGTTCTATTAATAAAACTATACTTTTGTAAATATTTTAAATTTTAATATTAATATAGTTTAAGTTGCCTCCACTGGAGAATATGTCTAGCTCCGCCCCTGATTCAATTACACATCAAACCATGTTAACATTGTATTTTTGAGAAGTCATTTGAGTTTTGGATAATTTCTTTTACTATGTTTGCAATATCCACTTATACATCTTGGGCTTTCTCCCTTTCCTTTACACCTTTCCATTGATAGGGTGGCTGTAAAGAAGCCTGTGGGAATATTGCATGTGAAAGTAGTAAGAGCCATCAAACTATTGAAGATGGATTTACTTGGTTTATCTGATCCTTATGTTAAGCTCAAGCTGAGTGAAGAGAGGCTACCTTCAAGGAAAACTACTATCAAGAAGAAGAACCTGAATCCCGAGTGGAATGAGAATTTTAAGCTTATTGTGAAAGATCCCCAGTCTCAGATTTTAAATATAAATGTGTACGACTGGGACCAGGTTTGTTCCTTACTCTGCTCTGTTAGTTGATGGTAATGAAGCAAGATTTATAGGCATTAATGGTAAATTTGAAACCAAATTCGAGAAAGCTTAAGTTCAATGGCCACTTGAATTCCTTGTGCACATATATTGCATGAAGATCAAGAAAAGTATGGTAAATATGAAGTTTATTGAGAAGATATTTGTAGTAAAAGCTGGCATGTACCAGTTTTCTGGACATGTTCAGGAGAGGAGATCCTCTCCTAAAGGCCAAGGGCTGCAAGAGTACTTTCAAAACCTTCCATTTTTGAGCACTACAATATTCCACATCAATTGTTTTTGTAGATTCCTAAAATATCGTTGCTTAAGATGTGTACCAAAAATGTCATCTGCAATTGGTGTGGCATATTATTCAATGCTGCTGCAAGATTTTCCTAAACCTGCAGAGCTTAGTCTTCCCCGCAGCTTTGAATGAAACAATTTCTCGAGTGTGAGCCTACACCCAGAGCTTTTTTGCAAAAGTAGTGAGATAGATGACTAAAAGCTGATGATATTTGCCTCTCCATAGTAAAGGGAAACACCCTCTATATTCTATTAATAAACCCAGGCATGAGTGCTGGTACAGTGACCTCTCTCAGACCTGAAATAACTTGCAAGTAAAAATAGATTTTACTTGACTTAATTTTTGAGTGTCATCAGAGTCAGCATTACAGTTATAGTTTCTCTTTGCTCTAATTCACAGGTTGGAGGACATGACAGGTTAGGATCACAAATCATCCCTTTGAAGTTGTTAACACCCCATGAGACAAAGGAATTTACTCTCGATTTGCTTAAGAACACGGGTATAAGTTATCCTCATGAGAAGAAGCACAGAGGGCAGATTGTGCTTGAACTGACATATGCTCCTTTCAGAGAAGACAATGACTGTTTTAGTGGGCTGTTGGATGGATTTGTGAGGAAGGAAAGTGTAGGTGATAGGGCATCTGGCAATGACAGCTTCAGTGGGGCAGGTCTGCTTTTGGTTACTGTCCATGGAGCTGAGGATGTAGAGGGGAAGCATCACAACAATCCCTATGCATTGATACTTTTCAGAGGAGAAAAGAAGAAATCAAAAGTGAGTTTTACTTCGAAAAAATATTTGGGATCTCTTGGACTATCTTTATACAACTGTATCAAAGTCTGACGGCAGAGAAGTGACTAAGATTTGGGATTTTTTCTTGTTTACTCATTATACTTCTATATTAAATTGTAGTTTTTGTGGATAACGATTTTCTAAGTACTTGGTTTCTTCAGAGGATAAGTAGAACTCGTGACCCTGTGTGGAATGAAGAGTTCCAATTTATGCTTGACGAGCCTCCTGTAAACGACAAAATCCATATCAAAGTTAGGAGCAAGCGGACAAGATTTGGTTTTCGATCAAAGGTTTCTATCACCATTATACACATCATCTTAGTTTCCAATCATGTACTATGAAGTTTCAAATGTTTGAGCCATTTGTCTACATTATGCAGGAGGCTTTGGGACATGTTGACATAAACCTTGCTGATGTTGTGTACAATGACCGCATTAACGAGAAATACCATCTGATAGATTCAAAGAATGGAGTTATACATGTTGAGCTGCGGTGGCAGACGATTTGAAAATCGGGATTAGAACATAGTAATAATGGGACATCATTAATATAAAGACAAAGTTTAAGATACTTGCAGATGTCTGCAGTTACAACTTTCAAGAATGGAAAATGAACAGGAAAGGGAGAAGGAATGAAGAAGAAAAAGAAAAAGCATGGAATTTTGCTTCATTTAGTATGCTTCCATATTTACTGCATTCAAGAATAAGACATGATCATTATGTTAGAGTTGTTCATCTTCAAATTTTTTTTTTATTTTGTACAGAATATTTGTATAATATAGATTTTGTCCGTATATGCAATTTTTCAATGAGCTATCAACTTTTGGTTGTATACTGCAAGCATTCATCTTTTCCACACACAAACTAAGTTGAGCCTCACTCACATGGGTTTGTGAGTCTTGTGACCCTTAAAAATATCGAAGAGTTGTTAATCGAGTGGAGTTTTTTGAACTTGAGTTCGAGTTTGTCGAACTCATTTTTTTAAACGAGTCTAAAAAATAGTTCAAGCTTGGTTTGTTTAGAAAATGAGTCGAACTCGGGCTGAGCCCCAAATAAGTCGATTATTTTATATATAAACGAGTTGAATTTTGCGAAATCGATCCTAATTTTTTTGATTTTTTTTTAAATAAGTCTAAAAAATTATTCAAATTCAACTATTTTAAAACATGAGTCAAGTTCGAACTGAATTTTGATCGAATCGAGTCCAAATAACTCGTTCCAATATAATGGGGCTCTGTTGAGCAAAGACGATCTTTTCTGTTAGTGGGTCGGTGGGAGAGTGTTCAATTTTTGAGTGCATCAACCCACATTGCTAGTAGCACCTGCATGCTGGGCCAGTACTATGCTCAGATCAGGCCGAAGAATCATGGTCCAGGACTCTACCATCTGTTCCACTGAACTGCCTGCGTCCCATCATGTAACGGGTCAGCCCAATCCATGGCTCAGTGTGTCCTTGGATTTTGGGCCTGCGCATGGGCCATGGTTTTTTGGCCACGGATTTATTGTCTGGCAGTTCTCACTGTTTATCGAAGTCCAAAATCTTGGTTTGTTAAATGATAGCATTCCTTGCTAATATGGAACAAAGATTTGCTAAGCCGTAGGCCCAAGCAGGTAGATCCTATCTATGCAACCAAACAGACCGCAAAGGGTTTTGCAGTTTTCTTGGGTCGGGTCTTTCTATTAGGAAGGAAAGACCCTACTTGTAAGGGTAATTGCTATCCATGATCCATCACATGATGGGTAGGTCATAGCCCATTAGGCAGTCGGGCTCGGGGCATCCAAATGCCCGTGGCCCACTGCCCGAATACCGACTCTTTCTTACATTGATAATTGAATATTTAAAATTCACTTTGAAACTACCTATCTTAAAAATAAAAAAAGAAGAAGAAGAAGAAAGACTTTGTTTATACATTCTATGTAATTGAAAAAAAGATAAGGGAAAGTCACAAAGTAGGTGAATTATATGATGTGGGACAGTGGACCCTGATGGTTAATGAATGGGCCCGACATTGGTTCATGGATTAGGTTTTGACTTTGCTGATGATCAAAACAAATGTAATGTCATTATTAAGGAAAGCCACTCAACACACCTGATTGTGTGAACGGATAAGAATCCATTGAGACCATTAAAAATTAATATTCGAGATATAAATAAATAAAGCTGATTTATCATTAATGCAACTCACTACCTTTTGTCCATCAATATGTCCACAAGAGTTAGATTAATTATTATATTAATTTTATATACACAACTCATACATAGGGTTCCAAACGATAATGCTGCTCATTATGGCACATCTAAGAAATTTAAAGCATTCAAAATGCTTGAGTCCTTTAACCATATAAAACTTGTATTTAGATTGATGCTATTGGTTACTCGAACTTGACTTGTTTTGAACTTGTTCAAGTTCAATTCGTTTTCTAAACGAAACGAATCAAATTTAAACACTTTTTTAGATTCGTTTTAAAAAAAAATCGATAAACTTGACTCGTTTATACGTAAATATTCGAACTCGGTTCAGATTCGGCCCGTTTTGAACTCGTTCAAACTCGACTTATTTTTTAAACCAATGAGTCAAACTTGAAGCCAAAAAATGGCATACCTCGTACATCACTTGGGAGCTTTATTTTGTAAGTATGAAAGATTTTGAGTTGTAGTAAAAGAGGAATCTAATTCAACCTAAGGATCTGTTTGTTAGAAGAATAAAGTTGTTTTCCAATTCAAATGGGTCTTATCTCAATTTTCTTAAATTTGTAGCTATCTGTTATCTCTCGTCATTATCATGATTTTGGAGTTTTGTCTCATGCTGAGTTGAACTGACCAATTGAGCTGAGCTACTTAATAAGAACTAGCCGACCTGGTCCCTGGACCCCAATTTTTTGGATGAGGGGAAAATTTTTGGCCCGTTCTCGGTAAGATATAGGCAATTTAATCACTCAAATTTGTAAGTTCGAGTAGAATCGAGGGTAAACTCCAAGTGCATGAACCAGTCCCTTAACACATATATTAATTAAATCAAAACTTGCACTTTAGTAGAGATTTGAACTCACATTAGAGATTTTGATATGATTTGTCTAAGTAACTGAGATTCATTCTACCAACTAACTATATTTTTTTCATCTAGAGGACTTGAATTCTTTCCCTCGTGAAAGCTAAGCCTTCCCAATACAATGGTTGTGGATCCAAATAGTGTGTGTGTATCAATGTATGTGGTTAAAATTAAGGGAAAATCTCATTTTGCGTCCCGAAAGATATAAAAATTTTGAATTTGTCCTTTAAATAATTAATTTTCTCACATTGTCTCTTAAAAAAATAAAAATATTACAATGTGATCCACCATTTAATTTTCATTTATTTTTCCGTCTATTTTGTGCAACCAATCAAGAATCAAAAACTAAACGGAAAAACAAACGAAAATATGACAGTGAACCACATTACAACGTTTTAATTTTTTTGAAAGGCAACGTGAGAAAATTAATCATTCAGAGGACAAACTAAAATTTTTTGTATCTTTCAGAAAGTAAGATGGGATTTACCCAAAAATTAATGATTCCCCTCACCCAAAAAAATTTGAAGGAAAATGCATGGCACTGGTAGCTAGGTTATCGAACTGCTCTTCAAGGCAATGGTGTAAAACCCTACCTCATAAGATTCTAGTTAGAGGTTTCCAAAGCCATAGTCAAACTGGTTTATAGATTAACTTAGTTAAGTTATTGGAAAACGACAGAGCTAACTTGTAGTGTCCAGTCACATCTACAACATGAAAAACACTATACTACTGCCTTGATTTTTCTTTGTTTCTTGGGTTTTGGTGGGTGGGTGGGTGGTGGTGTACCATTTGAGGAGAGATTCCCTCGTTAAAAAAGGGTCAGCTTTCTAGTTGACTCGCCCCAGAAAGTCTGGCAAATTTAGAGGTGGTAAAGGAATCCAAACCTCTCCCCCCCCCCCGGCCAAAGAAAAAAAAAAGCAGACACACAAAATTAAAGGGTGATGATGATTCTTCGGTAATGGATCTCTCTACTCATTACAATGAAGTGTGGGTTCATTATCTATAAGCATGCAATGCAAAACACCACACTACTGCCCTTAATCACCCAAGTGGGGGGCACCATTAGAGTATAGGCTCCCCCATAAAAAGGATCAGCCAGCTTTTCTAGCAAGTTGACTTGTCCCAAAAAGCCTGGCAAATTTTGAGGCAGCAAAGAGAATCCTATAACCATAACCCCCCCCCCCCCCCCCCC